CCCCAAAACCCCAAAACCCCAAAACCCCAAAACCCCATTTATAAAATTTTATATAGAAAATCTGAAATTTATTAACACTATTGTTTTATCCCAGCATGGTTTTCTCGATTTCATGAAGTCTTTTCTTCATGGATGATGATCTCTTATCAAAAGCACTATTGCTTTGTCTCGACTTCTTGTGATGTGTGGGGTATCCATCCCAGTAATCACTCTTGATAGATTTTTGAATCTTCAGAGGACTTTTTGATTTATTCGTAGCCCTGCTGTGGCATCTTCTGTGACCTGAATGAGCTGCAGTTAAAGGCCTCTCTCGCTTCTTTAATGAGTTTAGCCTTGATTTTGGAAAGACTGATTTTGGAAGCTCAGGAATTTTCTGTTTATGGCCTAAAGAGCTAAGATATCTTATATCATGTAGGTTGGAAAACAATTTAGTTTTCCTATTCCCAACTTTTGATATAGAGGCCTTAGAAGGGGAGTTTTTATTTAAGTTTCATCTTCTCATCAAGGGTTGTTCTTTGTAATTTTATTAGAGATCCAGTATCTTCCTTACTTCTGAGAAGGGTGTCTCTAGATATTGGAGAGGCCTGCTTTTTGAAACTATTTCTTCTTTTTAGTTTGAATCCAATTTTTCTCAATGATTTTCTTCTAGAGAGCTTATTTTTGACTTAATTGGTCAGAAATATTGTCTTCATCATCCAACTCTTGAACAACACTTTGCTCTTCATCATTAGGGTTTTGATGAGATTTTGGAAAGACTTCCTCAGCTGTCCTCGAGTGATCTTTTGAAAAATCTGAGTTATTGTCTGAAGAAAAGTCTTTTTCACCAGCTTTTGAATTCCCAAAATCTTTACTCAATCTGTAAGCTCTTGCACTCCCAGAACTAGAATCGCGTCTATAATTACTTCCTTCCATAAACTTAAGGTTAATGCTGCCTCTTCTAGAATTTCTTCTATTTCCTGATCCGAGATCTCTGATGCCCTTAGGGTTAAGCTTTCTTCTACCTTTACTCTTTTTCTTATGATGTATATGATTTGCTCCTTGATTTTCCTGTACATATTTTCCATATGTAAACTTAGAAAGGATCTTCTTTTCATTTGCCAGGTACTTCCTCCTACTGTAGCAGAGGTTAATTGCATAAACTTTCTCAACAGGCTTGTATTTGTCTAGTATGTCCTTGCTGATATATTTCCATAGCTTCTTGCCGACAGTTTTGTATTGAGAGTTCAGTTGATCTATTGAGACCTAAATAAAATTTAATCTTCATAAAATCTGAAATGTAAGAAGATTGTAACAAATTTCAGAGTGTTATTTACGTTAAGCCTCTCATTTTCTCTGTCAAAAGATAACACTGGGAATTCAAATACAGGTTTATCCCCATGAACATCGTGTAGGATCTTCTTGAGTTCTTCTCTTCCTTTATTTGCCAATCAGATTCAGATCACTTTTACTGAATTTACGATGCTGGTAGCTGGAATGAGGTCTTTTATCAGACTTATCTAACTTGCCGACTCTTATTGCTGGGCCTTTGTCTTTAATTTGGGACATTTTTGACTATTTCAATAAAATTATGAAAATTAGGGGTTTTGGGGTTTTGGGGTTTTGGGGTTTTGGGG